TTCCCTAAGCAGATTGCCATGCTGAATTTTCTCAGTTGGAAGAGGCAGCAGCTTCCAAGGACAGCATTAATTTTTTAATGCATCTGCAGCTACTAGAAGTTGTTTTACAAAGAAATAACTGTCCAAGCCCTTCTCTAAGAATGAAGAAATTGGCAAATAAACTTTAATTCACTTCTCTTATGTGTTCATTTCATATAATACAGATCTGTGATTATACCTATGTTTTCAAGCCATACCCTTCACCACCTTTCCAAGAAGATTTTCTCTCTGAAACAATTCAACTGTCAGTTCAAATATAGCTGTATTTTGGGCAACTCAGAGGGAGAGGCTATTTTCCAACAACTACATATAATATTAGGCCCTCTAATTATAAAACCTTATCATATTCATAGAAAATATACAGACAACAATAGTTTCAAAAATGTATTAATAATGACATGAAGTCAGATGGAAAATGCAAGTCAAGAATGAGATCTGAACACATACTTTTGCATTAATCCTAGCAGATGCTGAAATTTCACACCTCTTTAGTCAAAGTTACAGGAACAGCTTTTAGATACCTGCTTTCAATATGTTCATATATGCTCATATATAGCTTCCTTCTGCACTTTTCAAGTTAATGTGAGATTTATTTTCCCAAATAATATTAATGGTAGGTCAAACCTCCTGAAAATCATCAGCCCAGATCTGGCAATCACTTCCGTATCAGCAAATGATACCCATCCTTTCACACAGTGGTTCTGTTTTAGAACATCCTATGCAACCCTACCAAAACAGATTTACAGGTTACATTGCATCACACTGCCTGATGCTGGAAGTGAAATGATGGAAGTGATGCTGGAAGTTGAGCCTGCAACTGGAACACATGCTATTGATCCACAGTCAAAAACAGAGCTCAGACACCCAGAGCTATGCTGATTTCACATTATTAAAGAGTAATTATACTGGAGTTTCACAGGCAACTGTCAATGTATAGGTAAAACAGATCTGTTCAGTAAAGAAACTATAATATTGTATGTGAGCCAAAATACTTGTGTTTGAAATAAATTACAGAGATATGTAAAAATATTTTTTACAAAACTTAAGGCAAGGAATTCCCAGCAAGGAGCTCTCCCCGAATAATGGCTAAATTGAACCTTTAATCCTCCAGTGCTATCATTTAAGATACCATAGTCATTCGAGTAATCAGCTTACCTGGGATTAGAACAAGGTACTCTCTGAGTATTCACATTGTCACACAAAGGTTCCCCTCCATGGTAGATACCTGTTCTAACATAGATCTGAAAACAACGTTGATATTAGTACTGTCTTTGAAATGTTACTATAAACATTTTTTTCACTGCTATCAACATATACTATGATTACAAGACATTACCCTTTCATTTTCATCAAGTAAAAACAGTAACAAACCTGAAAATCAAACAGCCCCACCACTCCTCCACCCAAATTCATTCATGCTCTGTAAGGTATGAAGCATATAAGTGTATCCTTCTAGAAAATTATTGCAAAACTACTTCTTAAAAAAACCCAATAATAAACTTGAAATGAACACTAAAATAAAACCAACCCAAAACAACCTGGAATTTATTCTCAATTCTTACTGGGCCAAGGTATAGTGAAAGAAAAGACTGAACAAATTCCAAGACAGCTAGAGCCAGGCTTGTAGTCCAATTTCAATGGGACTGAACCCTACTTACCTTTTCTCCTTGATCTCCCCATACCTCCCTTTTCAAAGGCAAAGATAATAATTATTTATAAAATAGATAACCAGTTTTGTTCTTCTATTCATTAGAATCTTCTATCCATTTCATATTCTATTCATTGAACTATGCAAACTGAGTCCTGCTTCTATCAGGCAGAACATTTAGCTAAATACCACAGCTCATACTTTTTAAGTAGCATACACACGTTTTCAGATGCTAAAACATGGATGTATTTTTTAGAACTGAGTATTTAGATTTAAATAACAAAGTGGTCTAATTTTCTAACATGTCAAAATATATCTCTTTTTTACTGTAAGCACAGAACAGAAAACTCAGGAGGAAAACCATATGCTGCTGAAAACCACATAAGCATTTGCCTTACCTTGTCAATGTCTCTAATGTTCACATTTACATAGGTTGCACAGAGGATTCTTATTCTGAGAGCACTATTTATAGTCCAAAGCGATTTGGCTGTGGCTTCTCCATTCATGTAGGGTGTAGCTGTAGAGATACGCCTGGAATAAGATGGCATTGTAAAGGTGTCCAGTGGCAGCTGGGTATACAGGCTTTCCTTAGCCATCAGCATCAGATTGGGCATGCGACCAAGCATTATACAGCTTCTTATGTACTGCAAGAAAACAAAACCAAAATTCAGTGTGTTTTCAAAGTGTACACTCTTGGTAATCTATACCTAAAATTATTCAGGAAAATACAAAAGTAAAAAGCATCTTCAAAGAGCTTATTGCTGTCCTTCTATGTACATCCTTTACAGTATTTATAACACCCAACAGTCGAAATATGTTGCTGGGTAGGATCGCACAGCAGTGCTTCATACAGGTTTTGAGATACAACATCTACAAGAGTGGAAGGTCAAACTGAAGATAGAGAATAGAGCCAACAAAACGACAAGTCAGGTTTCTTGTAGTGCTCCTTAGGTCTGGTGCAGTGTGGCACAAAGCAGACTGCTTCCAGATTAGAGTTTTTCCTGGATTAGAGCTGCTCCTGGAAGCAGCTGAAGTGCTTTTGCAAAGCATGCTGCTGTACTGGTTTGCTGTGCACGCCTAGCGCAGGCGACTGACACTTTTAGTCACAGGCAGAGCACATGACAACTGGCAGGCATGCTCACTTCTGGTTCAGTTGTGTGTATTACCTTACCCTCAGCACTGATCCTGACAGGCTCTAGCGGTAAGGCTGTATGGTGTCCATGCAGGACTGAGTGCTGAGAGCATTTAGGCTGGCAACAGTACCAAAACACAATGCGTTAAGGCAGGTCCAGCTCTGGAGTGTAATTAGCAAGCTCTTTTGTGGCACAGCAAAGGCTTCAGATACTTCTGAAGAAACCACGTTAGATCAAATAGGTCTAGTGTTTGATCTCAAGATGACTGTGCAAAATTATTCATGTATGCCTGCACTTGCTCCCCAGCTCCCATAGAACAGAGCTGCTTTTCCCATTATTCAAGGTCTCCCGGCCCCCTTCTCTCTCCCATTCCTCTGGAGAGCAGACCGTCAACCATTTTAGCCAAAGGAATGGAAGTGTTTATTACAACAATACATTCCTCCAAGAGGAAGCAGCAGCAGTCTGGCAGGAAATCTACAGGGTAACATTGTCTGCTCCAGAGAGGGCTGCTCAGATGCTCTTCCATCAGCAGCTGTCTCACACTCACGGCACTAACAAAACCCAGGCAATGAAGGACAGACAGCCACAAGGAAGATTTAACAACAATTTGTGTGGCACTGGAAGATGATCACTCCATTAAGAAGATAAATTTTATTATGTAAATAACAGGAAAACAAACAGTTTGTTTACATTTTTTTTCCGCCCCTAAAGGCGGAAGGGACAAAATTCGCAGTAGCGATGGTTGCTGCATAATTTAACATCCCACTGAATTTCCTTTTGCATTAGATCAAACCCACTCAAGTATAACTCACCTCTTGGCATCAGAAATCAAGGATGTTTCTGAAAGCACCTACCACTGATCTATCACTAATGTTAGAGGAAAACCATTCAAAGAAAAAAGATTATACTAGTGATACAAATTCTAGTTTAAATTACTTTTTCCTCCCCTCCCTCTTTTCTGAAGCACAAATAGCAACAAATATGCACACTACACTCATGCATTAGCCAATTAAAGACACATTTTTGCTTTCTACGTTTTGAATTAATTTAATGACAAAGCAAGCCAGTCACTTGATTGATCACTTTTCTCCCTCAAAAATCTGGATTATTTTAGTGTACTTCAAAATAAATCTGTTACGCTACTCACCTTATACTGGCTCAGTGGATGTTTTTCTAGCAAGTATTCATCACAGCCACACACTTTTAAAATATATTTCCCCTGGTACTCCAAGACGCAAAGTTTCAGTTGTTCAGATGACAGTAACATACTTCGGGTTTTCTTCCTAATTGCTTCAGCGATAACTTGCTCAGGCACACAGTCATGATTGATTTTTAAGGTATATTTCTGCTTGTCATTGTTTGGTGAGACTATTACCCATATCACCACTATAATTTGCCCTAGAATAAATGTAAGATAATGTTAAGCCTATCGTTTTCAAAACAGTTTCAAAAAACAAACAAAAATAAGGTATGCACACAAGATTCATAGCCCAAACTGACAGAGGGTTTCAACTTTAAAGAACTACGTGAGCTCAGTTCATTTTTGACCCTAGCATAAATTCAAACTTTTACCTCTTGAGGTCAAGAATATTTTTGTTAACTGAATACTGATTATTTAGCCTTCAAGAAAACAGCAGCAACTGTTTGAGGACTGCAAGATAACTCAGTGATTCAGCACCACTTAATTCTAGATTTCTGAATGTCAGAGAAAAGGAAAATGCAACACCAACAAGCTGTTTCTGCACATTAAAAAATGGCTATTTTTAATCACCCATATATATACTAAGTTATATTTCAAGATTTAGTTATTACAATAGCAAAAATGTAAGTGTTGCCTTCCTTTGGAATCTACACTCTATCAAAAGAGTTATTCTAAATAGCTTATGGTATAAGGTACAAAAAACAGTAATTTACCTAAGTTACCGGCTGGACTCTTTGATTTCAATCACTGAAAAAAACCATTATGTTTCTGCTGTAAATATTTCTCTTACCTTTGTCTAGTTTGTTGTATATGTGTTTGGGTAGCTCAGCTGAAGACTCTACATTTGGAGGACAGACGTATAATGCTCTACTATGCGGTGCATTGGCATCTCGAAGATCCACTGCTTCTTTACAAACATTAAGAATATTTCTTCTGAAGTCTTGTACTTCTGGATCCTTAACCATGTCAAACTCACAGACAGGCATGCCAATAGCAAAACCTACAGTGTTGAAGAAGCATGAGGAAATAATTGTAACTGATAGTTAAAGCTAGAAATTCCTTCTATCACTCACAGAAATAGCATGCTTTAAACAAACACAACCAAACATATTTGAGTTAACCATTGGCTTCTACTTGTATACGTAATTGTTTATACTGTATTGTTGCAAGAGCAACTCAATTCTGAAGTAAAGTGCACTTGGCAGGCACAAAAAAGGTGAAGACAGGTGTACAGACACTGAAGATGCGGGAAGCCTTACACCACCACTCTCACAGCTGACAGTCCTCCTGGAGAAAAAGGACCAATAAACCTCCTTGGAAGGCAGCACAAAGTTTTCTAAGTGGACCAGTGGAACTGATGTCTGATCATCAATCATGGCAGGATTATTGATAGCTAGGACCATGATCAACTTCGCTTACAATGACAGCTATTCCATTTTTTTAAATGGACTACGCTATTTAAAAAAGTGACAAGCACTCCAAGAGATACTGAACTTGGCTCTTTGGCAAGAAGTCATGTCATAGGAGTCCATTTCTCTCAAGTCCTCTGTCTCAGATGCAATTCCATTTACCTTAATGAGATTACATATATAAATAATTACTTATGCATGACCGTTCAAATTGAAACTTTCCACTGTCCCATTGCATGGTCAGCTAAAACCACTGTTCTCCCTACATCTTGAACAGGTTCATCTTTACAAAACAGTTTACTTATGATGCATTCATAGCAATTAAATAATTTAACACTTAGGAACACCCCAGAACAAGTCTTTCCAGTTGACAAGTCTCTACCTCCGCAACATACACCTGTTAGCAACTAAAACGGAGTAAGTATGCTTGCACTGCCTGAATTTAGGTATCTAACCTAGATGCTGAAATATACGCTAGTGTCCATGTGCTTTCTCAATGGATCATGGAAAATGATAAGCAGAGGTGATTCAGAGCATCACAATTTGTCTCCCCTCTGCCACTCCAACTTCAGGAGTTTTTGTTTCCCTCTCCATGCTCTTTTTGAAAGAAAGGGTGGGGGAAAACACCTGGTTTCTGAAATTTACTTTCTAAGCAAGACAGAGCAGTATTAAAAAGTGTGTTATCAAAAATGTGATGTAAGATTTGTAATTAAATCCAGAATTTACAATTCTGCAAACTTCAAAACAAATTAAGATTGACTTCACAAGCAACAGGCTTTGGTCTGGAACCTGCTAGTAAGAGACAAGCAAAAAATATCCTAACCCACGTACAACTACAAATACGTACAAAGCAAAGACTTCACATGTCAATGAAACAGAACAGAAAAAGGTTTAATTTGCAGTTTACAAATGTCAGCTTTACTGTGAGCAGCATCTTTGGGCATTTGATGCAACAACTGACAGTTATGAAATGCAAACTTTGACAGATACAGGTGACAAACACAACCCATTTCTATTCTTTAGTTCATATTTTGAAGAGGAGAAGCCAGATAAACAAATTAGCTATGTTTAAATAAAGATAAATCTCACCTATTTCTCTATTAAGAATCTTTTCTTCTCTGTTACCTACTGGTTCAATGACTTTTAGAAAAGGCTGAAATAATCGCAGGTCACAAAGTCTCCGCGTTTCATCAAAAAATTCTTCTCTTTCTGCTTCTTGTGTAACACTTACAAAAATGTAAGAAGATTCATCTTGAAGGAGCTGATAGAGAGGGTATTTTCTTGCTTCTTTAAAGAGTTCATGTTTAATAGTCAGTAAGGTGGCCTCACGGAGACATTCCAGAGTCACTATCATTCCATTCGGGAGAAGACACTCCACAAGGATCCTCGGTGGCATCAAGTGGATGCCCCATAGTTCACCAGATGATGGACGTGGAGGCATTTTTAAGTCTTTAGATAACTTTGAAGTTTCTCAAGCAGTGATTTGTATGAGTAAACCTAAGTAAAAATCAGACATGTAAATGTTAATTCAAAATACAAACATCACAAGGAATTTCAGATAAAATTGTTGAAACACCACTTGTAACTGTAGATGAATATTCATGGCTATATTTTACATTCATAAAAAAGAAAAAGACTTGATAAAACCGACGTCTAAGGAACTTGTATTTGATTTAAATATCTACTAAAATAAAACAGTTAATAGCAGAATCACACTAGTTCAAAAAAACATCAATACACGTATGGTCTTAAAAAACCAGAAGTTTATAGTTTATGATTAGTACACTGAAACAGAATGCAGGATAAAAATATCTAAACATTCAAATTATTATTACAGGAGTTTTAAGTAAATCTCAAACCCAGTTCTTTACATTTTTAATTTTGAAAGATAAACATATTATAATTTGGGTGAGATACAAACCATTAGATCTGCTCTGTTTAGCCAAATCAATGCTTTGATTTCTTATTCTTAACTTTTTCTCATCCCAAACCTCTTAAATACTCAAACACTACTAACTTAATAGTTCTAGGTATTTACTAAAACTTCTAAACTTGATTTTAAGAATCCATGTACACACAAAACTCGGCCTTAGCTCTTTTAGATCAGTATAAGCTACTTACACCAGCAACCACCACTTTTTTCCATGAATGAGACAGAAGCACTGAGCTCCATTAACATTTTTTGCTTGGACTTGGTTTATTTCGGATCAGTTCCCTGTTGTGGTTCCCTCTGGCAGCCTCATGAATGTCTCTGCCAAGGCAAAGGAAAGGAGGGCAATGCGTGTCCCCACCAGCAGCGTTGCCTTATGCCAGCTTAGAGAAGGCACACGAAAAACTGCATCTGGGCAGAGCAGAGATGTCTCCTAGCCCAGCAGCCATGAACAGATGCCAAACAAAGAGCAGAAGAACTAGGCAGGCACACAGTGATATTTCATCAATAAACTCTCCTAATCACTACCTATTTTTAATTTCCTTAGCCAGGGGCAACGTTTATGTATTTATGAAAGAAATCCATCAAGAACTATTTTGTCCAGAAAGTTTTCACACACAAAATGTTGGCATCCTGCGACAAGAGCAAAGAACATTCCACGCTGCAAAAATCTGCTGTTCTTTGTTCTGATGCCTGCTACTTTCACCTGATACCTTAAATTTCTTGTAATGAAACAAAGTTCCTTATCCTTGCATTCACTGCTCTTAATTTTACAGATACACATCAAGTCCTTTCCACTTCCATAACAGTCCCAGATTATTCACTCCTTCTCTGCCCAAAAGTAATTCTATATTTTCGTTAATCCTTGTTACCTTCTCTGTATCTCTTCCACATTTACCATACCCTTTTTGCAATGTAGGGGGGACACAATCGTATCTGCACACCACATTCAAAGTCCAAACTGAGCACATGTTTACATAGTGGCGTAATATTTTCTATTGCTTTTCTAATAAGTTCTAATAAGTTGCTTTTCCGACTGTCACAAAGCAGCGAGACGTTTTCCCTGAACTCACTGCGGAACAGCAAGTCACTGGAAAGGCCACTGTACATTATGCAAATCTCGAAGAGTGCATTACTTACGCTTAGCCCACAATTTCATTAACTTCAGCATCTACATTATAAGAGAGGGTGATATCAACAGACACCTAAAGAGCAGTCCATCATCCATCATGCCTTCTCCGTCAACCAAGCGTCCTGACGGCACAGGGCGAGGGTAACTACTCGAAAGCTATTCTTAGTCTCCTTTTAAGTCAAAAACCCTCTTCGGGCTGCTCCTCTATCTTAGTTTCTTAATTACAGAAAGGAGGGCAAAACCTAAACCAACTGCTTCACACCTCTTCTGTTTCATCAGCTTTTTTAAAGCTCCAGCTGACTGCTATGCTTTCCCTTTGCTTAATATACATGTATAGATATTTATAAATTTTACGCACATACAAATATATATAAAATTATAAATATATTTAAAATATCTATATGTAAAAAAAATCATTACAGTGGTTTCTGCACTTCTATGCCTTGGTACTTATTTTCTGAAAAGTTTTCTTCCAAGTACATCCAGTACCTGCCTTTTCCACACTTCAGTTCTTAAAAAGGAGCATTAGAACGAAAACGTTGTTTTCCCAAATCCATTCCTTCCTAAGCAACTCTGAGTAGCATTAGGATTGTCTTTTTTTATCCTTCCTTTGTAGTTAGGGCTTTTAAAATATTTTAAAAAGTACTAAAGTACTACCACAGGTTTAGAAAAATGCTTTTCCACTAGCACCTCATGCATATTTAGAAGGGGTTTGCAACTGACTTCTATTTTAGAGAGAGCTTAAAGAAGCTATTTTATTTTCCTCACCGCTCTTAAGTCTCAGTAAGCGGATGCTGAAATGGAAAGTTCAAAGCACATTCAGTGTATTTAAAGAGCCAAACTTGGAAAGCTTACCAATTACAAAACATCACAAATGAACCCAAATAACACCATTTAGAGTAACAGGGAGAATTCTGAATTACCAGTAACTGTCCTCAGATTAAAGCTAAAAAAATACACAGAAGGTTAAATAGCATCCTTTTGATCAGGCAAAGCACGAACAAGATTCCCTTTTCATGCAGGTGAATCATATGCTTATTTACATTTCTTAATTGCAAGCAGAGGCAGAAACACATTATTGTTAAGGCAAATACCGGCATGAAAAAACGTAAAAACGAACATGCAGTCATAAGAACTTTTCTGTCCACTCATACAAACAGTGATAATATAAACGGGCCACAATAACATTAAATATTCACAACTTCAAACATCCTTTTAAGTTGAGTTCCACAATCCTGCAGAGGCTCCTCTGAACTGGTGGTGGTGGGAACCCATCTTCTCCCCGCCCAAGGCGCGTGTGCTCATTCCTTACCATGCTGGCACCAGTGCTCCCCGAGCCAATGTCAACCGTGGCTTTTCAAAAATTGCAGATGTTAAACACCAACTCCATACCATTTCTTTAAAGACCTGCAAATGGTCCAAAAGGGATGCCCCCAAATCTACACTTTTTAGAGAAACTGCACCAAACCAGCAGCTTTTGTTTTAAACTGAGATAAAGACATGTGCTGGAACAGTGCGTGTAGTCATTCTGTGAGCACACTCATTTTACTTGCACATGTAAGCACGCCTCCAGGGTTTGGATTTGGAAAGCAAAAATGTAAACAGAAACAGTTTTGAAGTACAGTTGGCAGCTTGTGTTTCTGTCTACACTTTCAAATCTGGAAGGCTGCCTGGAATAAAGAGAATAAATTATGTTCTTCGACAGTAAAAGGACTATAATTTTAAGAGAATCCTAGGGATGTTATTTAAATCCAACTAAGGGTACGTGCAAACACTTCAAATGAACACTACATCACACCTGCAATCCCTGACTTTCCAAATACATCTTAAACTTTTTTCCCCTGCCAAAAGCTTTGGAATACCACAGATGGTCAGAAAGGCCAAACTCCAAGACACCCACTGATCAAATCACATTATTTTCAACTCATTACAGCCTTTCTGATCCATCCAGCCCGTTCTTCATCATAAACCTTGCAGAGCACCCAACCTAGAAGTGATCAAATTTTGAAACTCCATTCAAAAATAATAGATACACATGGAGGAAGAATGAGCGAAATTAAACAACATACCTCCCAAAATATGGATTCCTATTTGCTTCCAGATACACTTACCATACTAATGTGAATTTATATAATTTAGTTTCTCATAGGATAGAAAATCCCATAGTCAAACAACTACATCATTTAGAAAAAGGGATTCCAAGTTTAAAAAATTTGGGTTTGGTAAACCATGACAGTTCTATCACCTCACAGCACTAAATTGTGCAGAACTACAGCAGCACGGTTATCTCAATTTCCTTTGATGGAATATTTTATTACAAGTTACAGCCTACAATTATTTCCTAATGCCTTCTTGATGAGGCATACAAATACGTTCTTGTTAACATACAAATACATTAAGTCTGAAAAGGTTTACATGAGACCATCACGAAGTTCACTGCTGCTTCTGAAAATAATTCCTTCCCTTTGAGGAACAGAGCTCAGCGAGGAAGACATTCAGTAAGAATTGTCCAAAACCCACAGGCATTTTCCTTAAAGACAGCTGAGGCTACTGCAGCTGTTTTCACCACACACTAACACATTAAAGCCCTGTGCATCTACAGCTCAGCAGGACACCCTGGCAGTATTTTTTCTGCCTTGATTTTTGTACATTAACATTCTGCCAGAAAAATCCCAGAGAGGACTGTCACTGATCTAAGTTTTATCTGTCTTGCTTAAAGGAAGGACTGTTATGCTTCAGTAGGAATGTAAACTACATTACAGAAACAAGCAAAGGAGAAATGACTTTCCAGGAGCTCTTCTGTCAGAAAGTGTGGAGAACCCTTCCTTGCTAAGGGAACACTCATTTTTACAGATTATCTGTTTACAGCTTAGACAAAGCAAATTGATTTCCACCGTCTAGAGATTACTCACAAACATTCTAACAACTCCACAGAAATAAATATTTGGCAACCTGTACATGTATACAAAAACCAAAAAGTATAATTTTTTATGAATTATCTGTGGGCACGTTCTCCAAAGAGAGGAGCTCCATGTAACATTAACACCTATGTCTTAAGGCAGATGAAGACCCATTTTGCAAGCCAGTTTGGGGGGGGGGAGGCGGGGAAGTTGTTCACCTTAGGAGACTTATTTGAAAGTCTGTCTGGCATCAGCACAAGTATCTACAGTTACTCTTCAGGCTCTGCAAGATGTAAATTCTTCCATTTATGACATATTAACTTGCAAGAAATCCAGCAAGTGTAGAAGGAAGCAAGAAGCAGAAGTGTACTGTGCTGCAATACCGTATTAAATGTATAAAGTATGGGATGCTTATGCAAAGAGGTACTCACTCCAGTGAGAGAGAGAACTGAATATTTTCGCATTGCCATAAACATCAGCTAGAGTTTCAAAATAAATTCAAAAGGATAGACTAAACACTCAATTTTATCAGTC